CAGAGTAGTACTTCATTGTGTGCAAATACCACGTTTCTTTTATTCATCCATCTGTTGATGGATATACATGCTGCTGCCAAAATTTCAAAAAGTGAGATCATATCAAATTAAAAAGCTTGGAATGAAAAAAAATGGAATGGAATGGAAAAAAAAATTTGCCAGCTATTCCTTGGACAGAAGACTAATACCTAGAATATATAAAGAACTCAAAAAATTTAACCCCCAAATAAAAGACCCAATCAAAAGTGAACAAATGAAATGAACAGACGTTTCTCAGAAGAAGTACAAACAGGCAATAAATGTACGAAAAAATTTTCAACATCTCTGGCCATTAGACAAATACAAATTAGAACACTGAGATTCTGTCTTATGCCAGAAAGAAATCAAGAAATCAGATAACAACAAATGCTGGCAAGGCTGCAGAGGGAAAAAGGAATCCTCTGTGTTGTTGATGGGTATGTAAACTATTACAACCACTATGGAAATCAGGATGGATATTCCTCAAAAAACTAAAACAAGAAATTCCACTTGACCCAGCTATTCCCCTTTTAGATATTTTTCTGAAAGAATTGAAGACATTATATTACAATGTATATTTGCTTTTGGTGTGGAGAAAAGCTCCCAGTAGTTTTTTGCATCATAAAACCATAAGGCTGGGTGACTCATACACCGAGGATATGGCATACTACAGTACAATCATGGTTAGGTTCCATGTTGACCTCATGGGGAAATTTGACTCAGTTCTCGTCCAATTCAGTTTTCAACCAGAATCATGGAAAGAATTAAGTCCATGAACTAAGGTATCACTGTATTTGTAAAACTATAAGCCAGGCATGATATATCTTTATAGAATAAGAATCTTACTATTTGGTAGTTATTTTTTTTTCTATTACTACATGCTTGTAGTATAGACTGATTACATTCATTGTGGGGAATTGGGACATGTATATAACAGTTCTCAATTCTTTTTCCTCCTCCCCCTTAGTGCTTATTTAAAGCAAAATGTTCTTCAGACTTTTTTTTCTTTTTTTTTTTTTGGTACCGGGGATTGAACTTGGGACCTTTGCACTTTCGAGGCAGGCATCGGAAACACTGAGCTAAATCCCCGGCCCTTCTTCAGACTTCTTAATCCCAGGTCAGGATGTTAGGTTAGGTTAGAGCTAGGTTAGAGCTAGGCTAGGATAGTACACTTAGGATTACTTCAGGGAAACTGAAAATCACTGACAGAGACTTTAAATTTTATCCTGTTTTTGCCTCCTTTTGCTTAATTGGATGTATCAAATAAAATGAAAAAGAATAAAGAGTTTAAAAAGATTAGGAAAGCTAAATTGGAAATGGTAGCACAAACCTGTAATCCTTGCACTCTGGAGGCTGAAGCAGGAGGATTGCCATGAGTTCTAGGTCACCTTGCGGTATATGGCATGTGAAAGGCCAGACTGGGCTACGTAGTAAGATCATGTCTCAAACAAAGAAACAAAAATAAATAAATTCTAAAAATGTTTTAAGAAGGAAAAGAAAAAAGAAAAAAAAGGGCAGAGAAGCTAAAAACTACAGCTAAAATTCTGGAATAGACTTTTGCTGGCAGAAGATAAGACTGACCAACAGAACAACTAAGCACTGCAATAAAATGAAACACACAGCCATATACCTAAAAATATAATGTACCTGCATACATGGATTGCAGGTGGAAGCTATGAAAGAATTAGAGAATAACTTTGTGTACACTAGTGAAATAATGGGCTGTGACATCAATCACCAATTGGTATTACAACAATTAGAAGGAAAGCTGATGAGGAGCCTGACATGGTCTGTCCTCCTTATTCACAGGCCCTGCATGCATGAACTCAAGTATGGATAAAACACATTTGGAAAAAAATTCTAGAAAGTTCCAAAAAGCAAAACATGAATTTCTCAGTGCCAAACCTATACTGAATCCACACCAATGAAGTGATATGTGGGCACATGCTGATGTGGTGCTGCTGTCCACAGATCCTCAGTCTCTCTGGGACTTGAGCATAGTTCACCTCACCTCATTCCCTTGCTATGTCATGAGGCCTATGAAGACTGTGTCTGCACTGAACATGTACAGATGTGTTTTGGTCATTGTTTCCTAAACTGTGTACACTATAGTTACAGCAGTATAACAGCATTTATACTGAACTAGGTATGATAAATAAGCAAGAGATAGCTGGGTGTGCTGGCACAAGTCTGTCATCCCAGTACTTGGGAGGCTGAGGCAGGAGGATTGCAAGTATGAGGCGAGTCTGGGCTACACAGCCTGACCCTGCTTCATAAAAAAATTAAGCAAGAAGTGAATTTAAATGTATGAAATGATGTGCATTAGGTTATATGCAAATATGACATTGTTTTGTATAAAGGATTTGCCCATCCATAAATCTGGATCTGCAGAAGAGTCTTGGGGCCAATCTCCTGCAGATACAGAGGAGCGACCTCAGTGAGCAAATCATGCTGACACAAAGGAGCCCTTCCCCTTTGTGGGAGCAGTGCTCAGGAATGTTGCCTGGCTGAGCTGGAATGTGTGCTTCTCCTGCCTCAGCCTTCTAGAGTGCTGGAGTCACAGGCATGGGCCACCATGCTGGCTAACAAATGAACCTATGGATCATATTATGAGTAAAAGCAAGACAGCCAGATACTAAGTGCCTCCTGAAGATAGCACAATAGGGAGTAACAGAGAAAGGACTCTTGTCAAAAGACTCTAATCAGGATTGTATATCTCATGATCACTGCATGGGAAATACAGGCCCAGAGATGCACAATATACAGGAACTTATTAAACCACATCACGAGACACAAACAGCCAAAGTCAGATCATAGGAAATTTATGAAGACAAATGACCCAGTTTGTTCTGTAAATGTCATAAAAGAGGGGAGGAGAGGTAAACTGTCAAAGATTAAAAGATACTTAAGCGCTATATTAAACAAACTCAGTGAGTGTGTCAACCAAACAAACCAACTGTAAAAAGGCAATAGGAGAAATTTCAAGCATCTAGATATAGTTTTTAAAAACAGATTAAAAGAACATTAGAGAGGAAATGATGGATAGGGAGTTCATAAGTGTCTCATTAAATATACAGGTATAGTTGATGGTTTTTGAAGAAAAACAGTGAATGCAACAAAAATAGTAAAAATATATGTGGGGAGCAATGAAAAATACAGATGCTTCTTGACTTATGATGGGCTTGCATCCCAAAAACTCCATTGTGAGTTAAATATACCATAAATCAAAAATGGATTTAATACACTTCATCTACCAATGGAACAGCTTAATGTCTTAGTGCACTGGGGTTATATGACTTGTTTCTGATTGAGAGTGACAGCCCATTATTACAAAACAGTACTGTACTGCATATCTCTAACCCTAGATGAACAGATAAAAAGTCAAAATTTGAATTACAGTTTCTATTGAATCTGGACCATGTTTGGACTATTGTAAAGTTAAAATTTTGTAAATCAAATCATCACAATTCAGAGAACATAACTATATATATTTGGTCTTTGTCTTTGGCTCCCGACAAACTCTTATACTTTACTGAGATATAGGAGTATCTTTTGTTCTAATAATGTGACTCTTGGCGGGTAGATAACCAGATACTCTAGAAAGCTTCAGGATGAGAGTTGGTCACTCAAAAGACAGCATCTTGAGTTGAATCCTGGCACTTTGTCCCCTATCCCAACCTCTGAGGAAAGGGGAGAAGCTGAAGATTAAGTTAATAATTGATTGTGGTAATGCATGCCAGTAATCCCAGCACTTGGGAGGCAGAGGCAGGAGGACTGCCAAGAGTTTGAGGCCAGCCTGGACTACAAAGTGAGACTCTGTCTCAAAATAAATAAATAAATAAATAAACAAGTGAAAAAATATACTTCAATGGGATCACCTGGGTTCAATTCCCAGTTCCACAAACAAGGCAAAGCAAACAGGTAAGTTACTAACTGATCATGCCAGTGTGATATCCCCCAAAGCCTAAATGGTAGGGGTTGGAGAGTTTCTGGGTTAGTGAATGTATTCACATACTGGGAGGGTAGTGCACCCCAACTTCTTAGGCTTCCAGACTTTGCCCTTTGTACCCATTTATTTTATCCTTTAAAATAAACCAGTAAACATAAGTAAAGCATGTTCTGGGCTCTATGAGTAATTCTACTAAACTACCAAACCTGAAGAGGGGAGGTCATGGGAATTCCTGGTTTATAGTAAATTGGCCATATGGGGGACAAAAGAGAACAGAAGGCGGGCATGGTGGCACACACCTATAATCCCAGCACTCTGGGAGGCTGAGGCAGGAGGATTGTAAATTTGAGCCCAGCCTGGACAACTTAACACGTTTCCACTGGCTTGAACCTCCAGTGGTACCTGCGTGACTGTCTCATCGGGAGCTTGTGCCACTGGTAATACAAAGAAATCTAATCACCTTATGGGCTGGGGATTTAACTCAGTGGTGCTGTCACCTGCCTCACAAGCCAAGGTCCCGAGTCAATCTCCAGTACTGAAAAAAAGATAGCTAGAGATCTAATCAATTTTATTGGTCTTTTTTACTAATAAAAATAACAAAAAGGTCTATAATTGGACTGGATCTAGTTAGTTGTCTCAATTTGAGTAATTACTGGCCAAATATAAATATTAATACTATTCATACCCATTTAAAAATTATTACAATAATCAACACATTTATTTCACTAAATTATAAGAAATACATTTATATTCGTGAAGTTTATCAATGCAGTAAGTCCTGGATTTATGAATGAGTTCCATTCCTGGAGAATGTTCGTAAGTTGGATTCATTTGTAAGTATGACAAAGTGAGTCTTATATACCTTTGACACAAATATATAAGATAAAACATAAAATGCTGAACACACACATGAAAACACTGTAAATAAACTATTTTTACTTTTACAGTTACCTTAAAATTGTGGTACAGTACAGTACAACAACTGGCATATGGGGACTGCATGGAGTGAACTGACAAGAAGAGAGTTACTAACTAGAGGAGGAGGCAGTGTGGAAGACAGTGGAGCTGAAGGATCATCAGCAATAGGAGATGGAGGGCGAGATGGGATTTTGGTCCCACTTGATGTTGGTGACACAGGTTTTTTGATGGATTCAATTCTGTCTACCCTCTTGAAAAAACGATCCAGTGATGTCTGAGTAGCAGGGTTTTTTTTTAATCATAGATGACTCAGTAGCACTGGATACCATTCTGAAGGGCTGCTGAAACCTTTGTGTATCACTCTACATTGGGGTCCTGTGCCTCAAAAGCTAACAGCGCCTCAAGCAAGGAAAATCTCCTTGTCATTTCTTGTGCTGTGAATCTCTTTGGTTCTTTAGTTACACCTGCCTCTTGGCTCTCTTCATTTTTTTGCTGGTCCTCTAATTCCATCAGGTCCTCACTAGTGAGCTCCTCGTACTGCACAGCAAGGAGTTCAGTGAAGTTGTCCTCTTGCAGATCTAGCTCCAGCTTCTTGCTGAGGGTCACTAAGTTGTTGAAGACCTCTTTAGACTCCTTACCCATCTTCTCAAGTCCATGAACTCAATGGACAAAAGGCAGGCAAAGATTCTTCCAAACCCCATCCATGGTGATAGCAGAAACCTCATGCCAAGCAAAGTTGATGTTTTTTATGGCCTTGAAGATGTTATAGTCCTTCCAAAATTGTTGCAAGGTTGTTCCTGTTTCATCAGTTGCCTTTACTGCCTGACAAAAAGTGTGATGTAAATAATATTTCTTGAAAGTTGCAGCAACTCCTAGGTTGGATGAGCTCTGTAGTATTAGGTTACAGATGCACCACTTTGACATTGGAATGAAAGGCATCCATCAATCGGGAGTGACTTGGTGCATTGTCAAGCAGCAAAAGAATGCTGAATGGGATATCTTTCTCCAAACAGCATTCTTTATCTCTGGGATAAAGTGGTGGAAATTCCAGTCCTGGAAAATGGCCTGTGTAACCCAGGCTTTGAAGTTACTCTTCCACACAACCAGTAGAGAGCCCTTGGCTATATTTTTGAGGCTTTTGGGTTCTCTGAATAGTAAACTAAGGGAGGTTTTAGTTTCATATCACCAGAAGCATTGCCACCAAACAGAGTGTGTCCTTTGTTACTTTTAATCCTGGCATCAACTTTTCCTCTTTCCTGATGTAACTTTGTTCTGGCACCCTCTTTCAGTAAAGTCCTGTCTCATCAACATTAAAAACCTGTTGGGGTAAATAAGCACCTTCATCAATAATTTCTCTAAGTGTTGCTGCAAATTCTTAGGTAGCTATGGTCTCTGGGCTCGAAGCCTCAGCACCTACTTTTACACTGTGATGGTTGGCTCTACCTTTGAATCTATTAAACCATCCATGACTGGCAGTAAAAGATGCTCCCTATTTACCCTATTTTTTCTTCAAATCTTCTAACAGGCTCTTGGCTTTTTCTTTTTTATTTCATTTTTTAAAAACTTTTTCTTGAACAAACATTAAGCTGAGTGGGACTCAACACTGATTCTGATCTTGCATCCACAAACTGAGTAGTTTTCCCACCTTCTCTATCACTTCACCATGCATTTTGCATACTATTGTTGACTTCGTTGGCACAGCAGACTTCACATGTTCCATGATCTTGTCCTTGTTCTTTAGAATTGTGCTGATGGTTGAAAAATTCATGTTATAAGAATGAGTGACATCTACCATCTTTTTGCCTCGGTCCAATCTATCAGTTATTTTCACTTTTGTTTCCATGGTTATTGCTTTGTGCTTCCTAGCAGTCCCCTCCACATCACCACTGCTTTTCCCCTTGCTTCCAGACATCCTGGGCTCTGACTGAGCACTGTGCAGTAAGCACACAGCAGCACAACTGTGACAATGTGCAGCAGGCACATGAGCTACTTCTGAGATTTGTTCACGTCTATGAATGTCCATAATGCAAGGTCCATTCATAACTGTGAAAGTCCACTACTCAAATGTTTGTTAATCAAGGACTTACTATAATTAATTCTCTAAATTTTAACATGGAAATCTGACAACTACTCCATTGCTGGAATATATATAATATACACTTACAACTGCTATACCACAAATTAGCTGTATTATAATTTTTATACCATTTTAATATTTTTCTCAAGGAGCCGTAATATGATGACATCTGGTCTGTTAAGTCAATGCCTTTCTTTGCATTATTGTAATCAAAGACCTCCTGAGAAGTGGTACAAACTGCCCAGTGGTACAATTATGCATGTACCACTGGCAGTTCAAGCTGGCAAGAACAATCGAATTCAAATCAGAGCCACATGGTGGAGAGACATGAATTATGGCCCCATAATGAATGTGTTAAATGAGACCCTGTCTCAAAATAAATGAAAAAGGGTGGGGTTGTGTCTCAGTGCAAGGGGCCTGGTTTCAATTCACAGTACTGCCAAAAAAAAAAAAAAAAAAAAAAAAAGAGGAAAGGAGAGGCCAAGGACATGTGACTGGCATTTGAAGTGGGAAGTCTTGTGGGACTGAGACTTTAACCTGTGGGGTCTGCACTAACTCAGTAGTGACTGTTAGTCCTGAATTGTTGAACCCTTGAGTGGTGTCCAGAGAATAAGAGTGATCACGGGTGTCAGAAAATGCCCCAAAGATGGCATATATATCCCGGTCATACAACCAGAACCTGTGAATGGGGAAAGATAACAGGAGTCCCACTAAGATGAGAAAAGGTAAAAGGTCCCCCTACTTCCATTACTATTTAAGGTTGTATTTGAATAAACAATTCTAATTGTCTTAATTTTGCATAATCAATTGTGTACAAAAATCTAAATCTATTTGTAGCTCATTTATGATATTGTTCCTGATAACCCAACATAACTCAATAATGAAGCAGAATAAAATTATTTGGCAAAGTAGAAGGACAGAAAATCAACATATAGTCATCAAAACCTTTATTTATTTTTTGAGGGTACCGGGAATTGAACTCAAGACCTTGCGCTTGCCAAGCAGGTGCTTCCAGCACCACTGAGCTATACTCCCGGCCCTCAACACCTTCATATGTTCAAAACTTTGCTAAACTGTGGAAAACAGTATGGTGGTTTGATAGTAGGTTATAAATAGAATTACCATAAAATATGGTATACCCAATTCCACTTTTGAGTGTGCAGCTGACTTTTCATATCTGTAGGTTTTGTGTGTACAGATCCAACCAGTAGTGGATAAAAAATGTTAGGAAAAGGAGTGGGAAGAGAGGGGAGGGAAAGGAGATGAAGACAAAGGAATAAGGTGTGTTATGTACAGGTACCACCTTCTTGTGATTAATGCAATCATTATGTATTGCCGACATGTATGAAAAAAATGTTTAAATGTTAGGACAAGTAGTACTGGAAAACAGGCATGTGGATCAATGGAACAGAACAAGGAAACAAAAACAGCAGCAGACACAGTTAGCTGTTTGATCTTTGACAAAGAGGCCAAAAACATACCCTGGAGAAAAGACCCCCTTTTTAATAAGGGTGCTGGAAAAACTGGCTATCCTCATGCAGAAGATTGGGTCTAGACCCACCCTCACATCTCACCATGTACTAAATTAAAATCAAAGCAGATTACAGATTTCAATGTTAAAACAGAAACCTTAATCTACTGGAAGATAAATAGTTAAATCTCTTGAAGACATAGACATAGGCAAGAACTTTCTGAACAGAACCCCAATGGAACAAGAAGTAATAATGAGAATCAACAAATGGGATCATATCAAATTGAAAATCTCCTTCACAGCAAAGGTAACAACAAAGAGAATAAAGAGAGAACATACAGAATGAGGAAAAAAATTCTCAAGTCATCCTTCAGATCGACTATTAATATTTAGAATATATTAAGAACTAAAAAAATTAGACTTCCCAAAATGAAAGATCCACTCAAAAAATGGGCAGCTGAAATGAACAAATACTTCTCAGAAGAAGAAGTACAAATAGCCAATAAATACATGAAAAAATGTTCAACATCACTAGTCATTAGAGAAATGTAATTTAAAACAACATTGAGATTTCACGTTACTCTAGAAAGAATGGCTATCATCAAGAAATCAAATAACAACAAATGCTGCTGAGGCTGCAGGGGAAACCCTTCTACATTGTTGATGGAAATGTAAACTGGTACAACCATTATGGAAATCAGTATGGAGATTCCTCAAAATACTAAAACTGGAGCAGGGATTTAGCTCAGCGGTTCCACCTCACAAGCGCAAGGTCCCCAGTTTGATCCCTGGTACCAAAAAAAAAAACCCAAAACCCCAAAAAACCTAAAACTAGAAATACCATTTGACCCAGGTGTTCCCCTTCTTGGTATATTCTCTGAAGAATTAAAGACATCATATTACATACCCATGCATACCCATATGTTTATAACAGCATAACTCATAATAGCTCAATCTTGAGAGCAGCCTATATGGCCATCAACAGTTGAATGGATAAAAAAGATGTATTTATATACAGTGGAGTACCACTCTGCCATAAAGAAAGATAAACTTGCTGGGGATGTAGCTCAGCAGCACAGCACCTGCCTGGCAAATGTGAGGTCCTGAGTTTGATCCCAGTACAAAACAAAACAAAAAACCAACAATGACAAAGAAGGATAAACTTGAATCATTTGTAGGAAAATGGATGTACTTTGAGACTATAATGTTAAGAGGAATAAATCAGACACACAGGTTTAAATATTGTGTGGTTTCTTTTACATGAGAAAGCCAAAATATAAATAAAAGCAAAATAAAAGATAGATAATAGGAAGCAGGGCGATAGATCTTTTGCAAATGGGCAGAGGCCCATGCAATGGAGGCAGGGGGAGGAAGGGGAGTAGGGGATAAAAAAGGATTGAGACGTATTATGTACATGTACCAACTCCCCATGTGGAATGTGATCATTATGTACTACAAACATGTACTAATAAAGAAATAAAAACTGAAAAAAAAGTTCTAGCCCAGCCTGTGCAATTTAGTGATTTAGCAAGACCCTGTTCAAAAATAAAAAATAAATTAAAGGAAGAACTGAGACTGTGGCTCAGGGCAAAGTCCCTGGTTCTATACCCAGCATCATTTTATAGTGGGTTGGTTTTTTGTTGTTGTTGTTGTTGTTTGTTTGTTTGATTGTTTTGGTACCGGGGATTGAACTTGGGACCTTGCGCTTGTGAGGCAGGTGGTGGCACCACTGAGCTAAATCCCCAGTCCCCGCAGTATCATTTTTTTTAAAAAAAGATTCAAACATGAAATAGACAAGAGTCCTCTCGTACCAACAGTCACATGATGGAAGAATACCCCAAACCAGGAAGAACATTCAGCTGCTTGAAACCAATGAGTATCCACCTAATATTAAGTACAGTTAGGGTTAGGATTAGGGTTAGTACAATTCACCCCTTATAGATTTATACTTCAAGAAAAATGATTACTGCCTAATATAATGCAATGATTCTTGTTGTTAAAAAAAAAAAGGCACTACACCTTCCCCAAAGAGGAACAATTCAGTGTCTTCTCAACTGCTGAATCATACAATTACTTTGCAATCTCTACACAATG